GATCCTCGGCCTGGCGTATCTAACAGACAAAGACAGGAACAGGCCAGTTGCATCTATACATTTCCAAGGCGTCCAAGATAGCCAAAGGGGAACTTTACCTCCACCACTGACGTGGACAAGGGCTACGTGTCTGTGGTCCCACAGTAAGCTAGATAGACTTAAAAGGGGTGTCCTTTAGACATCAGACACCTGACGTCTAAGCTGTCCAGCAACCCTGCCACACGAGCACACATGAAAAAAGCTGGGCAGTCGTAACTTCAAACAGATGCCACCAGTCAGAACGGCATCTTCCTCGCTAGGAAAAGCCACCTGGTGTAATTATCACCACGGTAATTAGCTGCCGCCACCACCCAGGGCAGACAGAAAACCCCTGCTTCAGGTCCCTGGTGACTTTTAAGAGTCCCCTGGTGAGGGTTCTGTTTTCAGGCTGGAGGGAGGCAACTTCCTGACAGACTGAAGCTGCCACGGAGGGAGAACCAAGGCAGAGTCCTGTGACCCAGTAAAGACCAAAGCATCAAGAGAAACGCCAAAACCAGTCCCAAGAGGATGGTTTAATTCAAATGTTCTAATGGTAAAAAGACAGCTGCAGGGCAGGAGAGACGGCTCAGACGTTAAGAGCTCTGGCTGCTCTTGCAGAAGACGGGGGTTCAAATCCCAGAATCTACATGGTGGCTCACAACTGTCTGTAACTCCAGTTCCAGGGGAGTTGATGCCCTCTTCTGTCCTCAAAGGCACCTGTACTCATACACTCAAAATACATAAATAAAACCTAAAATAAAAAAGACGACCATAAGACATAAAACATCTGTCCCTATTAATATTCACGTGATGGCTCACACTATTTAGAAAAACAGTTCCAAAGCATCAAATCCCTACAGCTGAGCTTTAAATTGGTATGATAAAGATCCCCAGACTCTATCAAAAGATTAGAATTTAGGGAAAGATGAGCTCCAGACACCTAAATCCTGTTGTTGTTTTGGGTTCTGTTCCTGTTTGTTTGAGGCAAAGTCTCACCATGTAGGCCAGGCTAGCCTCAAACTCAAGATCCCCCAGCCTCTACCTCAAGTGCTGAGATTAAAGGCTTGCAATACCACACTCTATTTCAGAAGTTTAAACTCTGAACAAGCATTCCCCAACCCCAAATCGCAGGGTGCAGGAGGTCTGGGAATCACACTTCGCATGCATTTTAATTCCCTGTTTACAATTCTAAAAGAGGTCTTACAAATACTCACCTTGAAATGACCAGCAGCTCATTAAGACAGAGAAAAATTAAACAAGCCATAGCACAAACGCACAAAGAGAAAGCAGATCTTGCTAATCACAACAACTGCCCACTTCTGTGTCTCCAAATTATATAAAAAGTGGGGCCAGTGAGATGACTCAGCAGGCAGAGGCACTTGGCACTGCAGCAAGGCAACCTGAGTTTGATGCCCACAACCCACGTACAAGCGGAAGCACCAACTGGACAAAGTTGTCCTCCAACCTCCACACTCTCGCCACAGCACATACCCGTACCGACGCGCACAAGTAAACCCACTAACTCTTTTTTCAATTATGTAAAATGTAAAAGAAGAGGCTGGGACACAGTGCTTGCCTAGCATGCACAAAGCCCTAAGTTTAACCACCAGCAAGTAACTTGGGTACAGTGATGCCTGCAATTCCAGCACTGGGAAGGAGGAGGCAGGCGGGTCAGGGGTTCAAGGTCATCCTCAGCTGTATGGTGAGTTTGAGGCCAGCCTGAGTTATATGAGACCTTGCTTCAAAAATTAATTAATTGATTAATTAAATGTAAAAGAAAACACATCAGAAGGGGGAATGTGATAGTAGGAACAGCGAAAAAATTCAAAGAATACAAATAAAAACTCAACACTAAAGAAGTGTAAAAGGTAAAAATTGAAACAATGTATTACAAATTTAGATAACAAAAGTGTTTAAAATAATCAAAGGAGCCAGGCATGGTGTTGCATACCTGTAATCCCAGCACTGGTAAGGCAGAGATAGGAGAATCTCTGTGAGTTTGAGGCCAGTCTGGTCCACATAGTAAGGCCTGGGTTTTATAACAAAAGTCTACCTCGAAAACAAACAAAACCTAAACCAAACACAGTGCCATCTATGAGCTGTGGAATCGTGGGTGAGCCATCCTGGGGATTGAACCCAGAGCCTATGCATGCTGCCCAGTGCTCTACTGCTAAATCCTACCCCAAGTTCTTAGTGACTGCGTTCTCTACCTTTCACTAACTCCCAGATTCTGCGGCGCTGCCAATGTCATGATGATCATAATTCTTAATAGCCTAGTCTCTGAATAAGGATCGGGGTGCCATTCTCTCCTTTTCTGCTGTTAGTGGCTGGCTATCTAAAAGCACTACCTTCAAAATAAGTCCCCAAGCATTTCAGGTTGTCTCCACAACAGTGAAATCAGAACCAAACCTATAAATGCTTTCTTTAAAAAGAAAAAAAAACATGCATTTAAAACGCTACAGGAAATAGAAATGGACAACAGAGCAATACAGCGCAGAGATCTCACTGAAGACTGTAATAAGGGGACCACCTGGAAGTCACCTCCACTGAGCCAAAGAGAAAGATGCTGAAGGCAGGGAACTTATCATCCAGACGCAGAAGGGACTGCTGCCTCCCAGAGGAACTGCAGGCAGGATTAAGGCACCCCCTGCACCCTCAGGACAGGCCCTAAGCAAAGCCCATGCCCACACTGCTACTGAAAGTACATCACTAAGATGAGAGGGTCCTGGTGCCATCGCATCCCAGATCAACAGCTACTGGCTGTCCCCAGACATCCCACAAGCCACCCTCCACCCAGCTGGATTCCCAGAGCCTGCCATCAGGCCACCATCAAGAAGTCATCCCTGAAGACCCTCCACCCAACAGTTCCCTCAGAGTGGGTATAAACGTCCACACTTGCTTACGCAATAACTCTGGGTTTGCAGTTGGGGCCCCGAGGCCGGGCCCTGGAGCTGGATGCTATGCCCACTGCATCGCACTCTGTGCTCCTGCCCAGAAGCAGCTGTGCAAACCAGAGAAGCCCAGTGAGCAACTTAGTGCAAAGGTGAAGTCTCTGCCTCTGTGACGTCAGCTCTAGAAGAGACGGATAACTTCGCATCTCCAGGCGGGATATTTGGATTAGGGGTAGCAGGGAAACAGAAAAGAGTCACTAAAGGAGGGTGAAGCAGTGTAGACTGGCCCACTGCTGACTTTAAATTCAGCAAAGTAACTTTATCTTCTACAGCCTCTCTAGAATATTCAGATGGCAATGTGAGTGTGGGAAACACTGGGGCTCCAGAAGCTAAGAGTATCGCAGAGTCTGGAGACAGACTCTCCTAAACACCTGTTAAGACCCTCCGCTATAAAGTAGGAACCCTAAAATCTAAGTCCCAATGGGACTAGGTCATGTATATAAAACACAACACCCTACACGCATGTCAGTGAAAACAACTGGCAGCCGAGGTCCCGTGATGAGCAACTCCAACAAGATCCACCTTTCTCTGCTGACTAAAGACAAGAGCACTCCAAAGGGCTGACTCCTCTCCTCTGAACACTGAACTCTCGTGGCCTGAGACTGAGACTGGAGGTGGTACCTTGGGCAAAGTTTCTGGACCCACTGTACACAGCCTAAAAGACCTGCTCTGTCAACCCCGCCTCTGGTGTGGTTCCCTGAGGCAGGGTTTCACCCGGCTAGAGGAAATCTCTGGCAGCTTCAGCAAAAGGGAAGGGATGGATGGAGCAATTCCTTCCACCCTCTAGCCTGCGATCTTCAGCAGGCTGATTCTGCCTTAATTTCCTCACAAGTGAGTGAAGCAGTCTCATCTTACGTCCCCTGAAGTCCCTTCCTCCACCATCCCCTTCCTAGAGCTGCTTCTAATACCCACAGTCAGGCCTCAGGGACACGTTCAGGTGTGTTCCACTTCCTTCAAGCCTCTTGGCAGTCCTCTGGCCCCGCTCCCAAAGCAGGGAGGGTTCCTCTGAGCTGCTTTCATGGCTTTTCTGTTTTTCCTGTGCAGTGGGAAGAAGCGTTCCACCCTAAACTGCTTCTCCCACCTTCCCTTTCCTACCCACAAAGTAGCCAAGCGTGTGTGTGTGTGTGTGTGTGTGTGTGTGTGCTGGGGCAATCACAGGCTTGCCTGTGTGTCACCTCGGAGATGGTCTCCAGGCCATCCTCCCAATGCACACTCAGGGCAGACAAATAAACATTTCAGAGAAACAACATGAATTAAATCATTTCCGCGACAAACAAAACCCACCCACACGCCTCATAAATCATGTCTCTTAATCCCATGCTGATGAACAGTCACTAAATTGCATCTATTGTAAAACCAACCATGACTCCTTTCATGCCCTGACACTCCAGACTCAAAATATTTTCACACTCCATTGTAATGCCTTTGTAGAGGATATACCAATCGCTAGTTCCCTGGAAAGATCCACGGCCAGGGCGCTTTCCAAGAGATTTTTCTTTGAATGTTCTTTGTGTCCTGGCGCACTGGGGGACACGGCCAGCTTGCCTGCATCTGGGGAAACACTGGTTGTTCACGGCAATGCACAACTGCTCTACAGCACACACCAGATGCACCCCTTTGCCCCAACAATAAAAGTATCCCAAAACATTCGCTACGCCACATTCACACAGCTGTGCACAAACACAATTCCAGTGCCTGCATTTTGCAAAGGAGATAAAGAAATCAGGCATCTTCAGAGCAGAAACCACCAGACCCGCCTCGGGCAACATGGTTCACGGAAGGCTAGGCTGCAGACCTTTTACCAAGACCGGCCAGGAACGGCTCGCTCTTTTCCTTTGCATCTATTCATTTCCTCCATGCTTTTATTTGCTGGGCCCAGGAAGAATGGGAAAGCATCTCCAGCAAGGAGGGCGAGGGAGCGGTGGAGAATAAAAGAGGATGGGTGGGTAGGGGGGAGTCAGAGGGTGGGCGAGCGCGGCAGCGAAGGCAGGCAGGGTGGTGGCCCCGTCCCGGGGGCTCGGCGAGGCTTACCTGGGGCGCACGAGGCCGGCCGGGCGAGCAGCAGCAGCCAGAGTCCGGGGAGCAGCAACCCCGGGCGGCGGTGGCGGGAGGAAGGCCCGCAGCCTCTCCGCCCCGGCACCAGCGCAACCTTGGCGCGGGGCTCCCACTCCATGGCCACGCGTCGGTTTCCCGGCACACCGGCCTCGCGGCGTGGGCGCGCTCGGGCCCGGGACGCGGGCGGCCCCTGCGGCGGGGACTGGGCGCCGCGCACCGGCGAGCAGCGAGGCCGGCGAGGCGGGGGCGGACCGGGCCGGATCCGCGGACAGGGGCCGCTAGCACGCCGGCCGCGCCGCTCCGCCCCCTCCCGAGCCTCGCAGCCGCTGCCGGGCAACGCACGGCCCCGCTCGGGGAGGCGAGCACCACCTCCCGGCCGGCCCGGCGCCTGCCTGCGGGCCGCCCGGCGGAGGGCGCGGCGGGTCCCGGGCCCCGCCCCCTCCCAGGACCCGCCTCTCCGGAGGGCGAGCGGGACGGCACCGCCCCGCACCAGCACAGCACCCGGGAGGCTCTGGAAGAACAGTCGGAAACCCGGGGATGCTGGCGATCGCTCCTCCAGAGCCGCCCAGGCGGAGCAGGCAGCAGGTGTGTGTGCGGGGCAGCCAAGGTCCCGGGCTGCAGAGCGGACAAAGCCGAAAGAAGTCGGGCTCTCTTCCCCGGAGCCCGCGTACACGAAAGGCTGGGGAGGGAGTGCCCACAGCTCTGCCCATCCTTTGCCCTTCCAGAGCTCTGCCACCTTGCGAAGGTGGGTCTTTGGAGAGACCTGGGCCTACTGCCCTGAGCTTCGTAGTCTTCAGAAAGGGGCTGCTGAGCCCCAGACACAAACACTCACACAGAGTCTGGCCTTTTTCAAAGAAAGTAACACCGGTGAATGATGAAAAAGACAGCGCTGGGGGTTAGTTTCCAGAGAGAATAGTGGAAGAGGGTGAGAGTTAAATTTGTCTCGATGCTAAGAGCCCACCGTGTGAACTCCGAAGATGAGGAAGGTTAGAAGGTCTTGGAAGACACCACAATTTTATTTCAGAGGTTGCTCCAGCCATAATCCGAAAGCTGTGCACGAGGGAAGTATCTTTTTGACCAAGAAACTAAGACAGACAGTGGGAAATGTGAGCCATTCACGCTGGCCAAAGGATCCAGGTTGCTCTTCAGTGAGGCAGACAGACTAGGTCAGAAGGAGTTGCCCAGTCTTGCAGAGAATCAATAGTTCCTTTTCTGAAAAAGGCGGGTCAATACCTGTTAAATTTCTGGGGAAATGAGAATGTAGGTTAAAAGCTTTTGTGGCTGACCCTAATTTTTGTGCTTCATTGTGTCAACTAGTAAACAACCCCCATAAATTGCTCTCTTGCTCCCCCGCCCCGCGCCCGCCACACCCACCCACAGAGTAATCTCCCGACCCAAATGGAGCTTCTGCTTATCTAAGCATGTCTGAACCCTGATTACAGTAGCCCTGGGTATGGTCCTCTCGATCCTAGATTTTCTCTGAATTCTTTGTGTACACAACTATTTGAGCACAGACCACCCACCTGGGGCAGCTCTTGACATTCTGTTATTTTATTATTATTATTATTATTATTATTATTATTATTATTATTATCATTATGAACTTGGGTTTTGCCTCCTCCCACTAAATTAAAAGGAAGTTCTAACATGTTGTCACCCCCATAGGCTCTCCCATTACCCCAGGAAGGTTTCATTATATATGTATTGAGAGGAACCTATGCATAGTCTATATTTGGCCTCAGCCTCCAGGAAGTTCCCAATTTGTCTAGACTTCTGGGTGGGGCGAAAGGAACCTCCCTCTCCATTCCCAATCCACTCAGACCCTGCTCTAAGTAAACAAGAAAACACAACCTTGGGCTAACAGGAAGGGCTCCTGGGCATCAACTCCCTAAGGAAAAGTAGATCCCTAAAATCCTTTGGTCTCCCAGCTCTGAAAACATAAAACCAACCTCTGTCAGGAACTGGGCCATTCTCTCTCAGTGTCTGGGAGTGTGTCCCCCAGGGCTCAGCTGGCAGATAACATGACTCTGCAGACGCAGCGGAAATGAATGGGCATGTATGTGTGTGCATGCCTCCACACCGAGTCACACATCTGTGCACATTCGTGTCTAAGAATAGGGATCGAGCCGCAGCCTGAGCGCATTCGTGTGAGATTATGCTATGACTTGTTAATCCTGGGAGGCTATACGAGAAGATAGAAGAATGGGCTTTTAGGCACTCACCTAATTCTCGTTTTGCATATAAATAAGTAAGAGATGAGTTCTCCCTCAGCCAAAGGTACTGCACCATCAGCTAGCCGGGGAGAATCAGCCTGGCCCCTCGGCATGCTTCCAGCTTGGTTTGGGAGAAGAGAGAGGTCGGGTCAATTTTACTCTTAGATCTGGGGCATAACAGGTACCACTCTGGGCTTCTGCCAGCTGTACCCAGCCCCACAGACTCAAGAGTCTGATAAGCCGAGGAAACACCCACCAGGACCCATCCTCCCTATGCCTGTGTGCCAAGGACTCCAGAATTCCACTCCTTTGGCCCAGCTCACTTCCAGAGCCTGTGTAATATCTTCCTGAGGTCTGTCCTCCCCAAAGTGGCCCACAGCTGGTGAGTCTGGCTTCAGGGAGTAGACAAGGGATAGTTGTTTGCCAGGGTGGTGATGGGGCTTTCACAGGTGGATAGGGTATCTACACAAAGCCTACAGGATGAAGCAAAGTCATCCTCATCAACTTAGACCATGAAACCCAATATGGACAAGTTCAATAGAACTGCCATATACGGGCTGCCCATGCATGCTTCAGCATGGCCAGGGCATAAATTTCATTTTTCTCAATTTCATATAAATCATATGGAAAATAAACACAGGTGGATTCAGTATTCGCTGGGTTGGCCTCCTGACTCTATTCTGTGTCTCTGTGTATTTCTTTTGTATCTCTATTTTGTTTGCCTAATATTTCTAATCCATACACCCCTACCCTGGAACACCTGAAGCCATCAAGGCTGGAGCACAACAATCCCAGCACTCAGCAGCACATTAAATGGACTTTAGGAATTAGAGAGTACAAGATTCAGCAGGGATTGCACTTGGAGGGGACGGACGGTCTGAACAAATACATAATGGCAGGAACATGAGATTTTTCTAACTAAGGTATTAGCTCAACTGGAACCCTGGTTCCAAGCCTAGCAACTAATTAAAGTCAACTGGAGTCCAATAACGAAAGCATACCATCCCTGGGCCACACCTCCAGTAATTAAATTCAAATGTCTGCCCTTAAGGCTAGGGCAACGTTCTGTTTAGAAAGCTCCCTGGGATGTTCATGTGCCATCCAGGATGGCAACTGTTTGGTGAGAGGGATGGGAAGAGTTGATGAACAGGAGAGGAGGTGAAACTGGCCCAGAACACGACCTCCACTATAGGGCCGAAGGGCCTGAACTCCATTGGCAGGCAATGGCGATCAGTAAAGATCTTTGGGGAGATTGTTAGAATGAAGCACAAGAAAGATGATCCTATTAGCAATGCATAAGGCCATTTGGAGCAGAAAGGCTGGAGAGGGGAGACCAGTTAGGACACTGCAACCCTGAATGCATGAAGCGTGAAGGACTTGAACATCTCCCACCATCAAAGAGAGCAAGCTTAAATTTTTTTTTTTTTTTTTTGGTTTTTCGAGACAGGGTTTCTCTGTGGTTTCTCTGTAGCCTGTCCTGGAACTAGCTCTTGTAGACCAGGCTGGTCTCGAACTCACAGAGATCCGCCTGCCTCTGCCTCCCGAGTGCTGGGATTAAAGGCGTGCGCCACCACCGCCCGGCACAAGCTTAAATTTTTTATCCTTTCTACTTATACAAGAATATGGGGGAAAGGGGTATTCGAAAGGGGTATTCCTTTTTTTTAAATATTTATTTATTATGTATACAATATTCTGTCTGTGTGTATGTCTGCAGGCCAGAAGAGGGCACCAGACCCCATTACAGATGGTTGTGAGCCACCATGTGGTTGCTGGGAATTGAACTCAGGACCTTTGGAAAAGTAGGCAATGCTCTTAACCTCTGAGCCATCTCTCCAGCCCGGAAAGGGGCATTCTTAAAACCTACTGATGAGAATGTCAATTGAGAGAAGCATTTTGGAGGATATCTTTATCTACCAAAATTTAAAATTGGCTCAACATGTAGCCCAGAAAGCCCAACTCAAAATACAAATGGAAAGATGGCTCCATGGTAAGACCACTGGCTGTCCTTCCAAAGGACCTAGGTTCAATTTCCAGAATTCAAATGCTGGCTCACAACCATCTGTAACTCCAACCCCAGGTCATCTGGCACCCTCTTCTGGCCCACATAGTGCATGTGTGCACGTGTGCACACACACACACATATACAGAGAAACAAAATACCTACACACAGAAAATAAATTTGAAACATGTATGATTTCTCCCCCTCCATTCACTCATCCTTTTTTTTCCTTTCGATATTTAAAATCAACTCACAAGATAGCCCAGAAAGCCCACCTCAGAATATATATGGTTTTGATGAGCAGTGGTGGTACACACCTTTAATCCCAGCACTTGGGAGGCAGAGGCAGGTAGATCTCTGTGAGTTCGAGGCCAGCCTGGTTTACAAGAGTGAGTTCCAGTACAGCCAGGACTAGACAGAGAAACCCTGTCACAAAAAACAAACAAACGAACAAATAAATATATGGTTTCTCCCTTCCCCTTACCTGGCCTTCCTCCTTATTTTCTCTTTTTCTCCCTCCTTTCGTTTTTCTTCTTTCTTTTCTCTTTCCTTTGCTCTTTCTCCCTTTCTCTCCCACCCTCAAACTTTCCCATTTTTTTCATTTTAATATCTTAATTTAGTTTCATAAACTTAGTCATGCAGTTAAATTCAAGGAAATTCACCTTTTTAAAATGTTCACTGGCGGGCTGGAGAGATGGCTCAGCAGTTAAGAGCATTGCCTGCTCTTCCAAAGGTCCTGAGTTCAATTCCCAACCATCTGTAATGAGGTCTAGTGCCCTCTTCTGGCCTGTAGGCATACATGTAGAGAAAATATTGTATACATAATAAATAAATAAAAATATTTAAATAAATAAATAAAATGTTTACTGGGAGCAAGGCATGGTGTGCCACGCCTTTAATCCCAGCCCTTGGGAGACAGGCCAGCCTGGTCTACAAAGTGAGTGCCAGGACAGCCAGGACTATTACACAGACAAACCCTGTCTCGAAAAACCAAATAAAATAAAATAAAATGTTCACAGAGTCTTCTGAAGCCACCGCCACATTCAAGATAGAGAACACTACTATTGCCTCAAAATTTCCTATCCTCTTGCCATATATCCTACACACACCCACACATCCCCCTCCGACACACACAAATCCCTGACATCTTTGGATATGATTTACACATCTATAGTTTTG